CGAAATCATGAAGGTGACCTCGGCCTTTCTGGGAATCGATCTATGTCTCCCATTGCTTAAAGTCAAACACGTTACCACTGAGCTATTCGGCCTGGCTAATGAGCTCGTGTAGAACATGTTTTTCTAGTCATCAGACTCACTCATTAGACTCACTCAGGTTACTTCTCCGCTATGCCAACTATCTAATAGTTTATTAGCTTAGGAAGTAATTATGAAATTTAAACTAAAACTAGTTCTAATCCATTTGTTAAGATTATCGTCACGAACCAACATCAGTAATGGAGATGGCTAAAATGTAGCGACGAATGGAGAGTCATTTTTCATTCCACTTTTCGACTGTTCATCAGTGAGCAACTACAACCGCAACACGAATCCAACTTGGGGCCTTCAGATAGCGATTTTAAGCTTCTTGGCTATTCAACCACTTTGGCCGGAAGTCAGTGACCCGTGAATTCTAATTTTGTCAATTCATGGTATAACGCTTCCCTCACTAGTGCCTTCAATGATCATCCAATTCACTTCAACATCGTAGACCTAATTAATCACGGCTTATCACAGCAGCTCCAGGAAATCCATCCATCCAGTAACCATCAATAATCTGATGAGTGATGCTCACTTAACAGGATTTGTTCGGATTTCTTTTGACTGTAAAGAACACTTCAGACTAAACAGTTTCAGTAGCATTTCCCTTGACATTTTTTACTTCAAAATAAAAACAACGAAGATGTCAGAAATGATGTTGTCCACATTTCTGAATTACTGTTCGCTAGTTATATTTCCTGTAAATACTGTATTATTGATGTATTTTCGATGCTGAGTAGCAACATGTTTTCAAAATATTGCGATTCATATACTGAAAATATTTAATATTAATAACAGTAGTTATAAGTAAAGTTTACGACTTAGTCATCAGATTTTTTTAAATTATTCAGTTGCGAGTTTGACCACGGATTGATATCAGTTAGAGAACTACTGAAAACCAGCACTTTAGTACTGGACAGCTGTTTCATCCTAGTTTGGAACTCATCGGCAGTACGCACCCATTGCGGTTCGAACCCAGGACCTTCCGGTTACAAGTCAAGATCGTATAACATTCAGCCACTCGCACCTGATTCAATAGCCAGCCTATGAATTCTAATTTCTACTAATTCGTGATTTTATCGCGATCACCAACCAATATCATCGGTGGGAAATACATCCTCAAACTTGATTGATTGGACCTTACTGGTCACGACTTCTCACTAGAACTCTCGGAAACTCCATCTTGTTGCATCAGATTAATTTTCAAGAGTTAGTTTGCAAAGATTAAATTTGTTTTTACGAGTTCGACCACCGGTAAAAACAAATTTAATCCTTACAAACCAACTGTTGAAAGTTATTCAATTAATTTAATATAACTGAGCGAAATTCAATTATACTGTAATACTTTGGTAATTAGTCGTTCTAGCATACCATCGACAAATTCATTAAAATATCAGGAAAGATTTAAGTTATTTTCAATTCATGAAAAATTCCCATTCGAACATTAATAGACAGTAGACAAGTAGTTCAGCGAAGAGTCTCTTTTCGGCGGCGAATTCATTTTCATAGCTGTACAAACGCAAATATATTAAATTTGTCAAACGAAAATACAATTAGTAAGTTCAGATGAATCGGATGTTGATATAAGAGAGTAGTAACAACACTTATCAACACTTAATTCACCTGAATTTAATAATTGTAATTTCGTTTTATTACGTAACTCTTCTTTAACAATCGTTTGTGACAACTGATCACTTTTGTTACTACTCTATTATATCATCTGAACTTACTAATTGTATTTTCGTTTGACAAATTTAATGTACACCCACATACAAAACAACCATATATATTTGAGATTGTACAGCTATGAAAATGAATTCGCCGAAAAGAAACTTTTTTCTGAACTACTTATTTTCCATTACCCCATTGAATGAGTAATTTAAGAGTACAATTCCAAAATACTGACCATCAATAATTTCTGTTGTCTAGGATGTAAATGCGAATTAAAGCAAAAAGATAGACTGATCCGATCCAGTGGGAATAATTCAATTTTATTATTATGCTAATTAATACCACATATCCCGGGAAGTTAAGGCAATAAATAACCACTTTTAATGGCTACATAAATTAGGGATTTTCGCTTGTCCAATAGCATTCAAATGACTGTTGTACATCAGCCCTTCGCTTCAATTAGTGCGAACTGGTCTAAGCCTGTTTTATTTGGTCTGAGATTATTTCGAGTGTCTTTAGACAGTTTCTATCCCTCCTGTGGATTGATTACAAATCAGATGGAAATATTTAGTTTCTGTTGACACATATAGCGGCTCCTAAGACAGATGTTTTGACAACGTCTAAATGACTTAAGAATCCCTGAATGAGTCATATAAAAGAAAAGACGTGTAGCAAAGAGTTACTCTTTTCAGAATTCTCTTAGCAACAAAAGGAATATTTCCAAAAAGCGTTATTAGAACTTTAAATATTGGAGATACCAATTACGTAATATAGGAAGCATTATTTGGGTAGAAAAGTAAATTAAGTGACGCACTATTACTGACAGGATTGAGCAGAATTTAAGTAAAATTGAATAAGAGTCAAGTTATCAACAGGTAGCAGATATCCAGTAAAGGGTGGGGAGGAAGCAGAAAATAAGAGAATTAAAAGAAAAAGACAGATCAGATCTGTTGTAGGTTTAGTGATTAAACAAACTTTTCTGTATACAGAATTTAGGACGTTATATGTGAATAGGCATCACTTCTATGGATTGAAGACGTTTGATTCATACACATTTAGCAAGATAACTGCGTATTCTGTAGATAAATTTGAAGTTGGTTTTCAGATTCGCTTGGCATCCAGATTCGGTCAGGTGTCCCAGGATTGAGCTCCTGCTGGAGGGTCTTTTTTCTCCTTTATAAAATCATGAGGGTTAGTATTCCATGATACATTTGTATAGCAAAATATGAGTCCTGTCAACATACCTAGCTCCACTGGAGAAGGTGAATTGATAGATACACATTGATGAAGCCAAAATTGAGACAATCCAGACAACAAAACATTTTTGTGTATCGACAGAGTCACCCTTAATGGGTGTTAAACCGTACTTCAACTTACTAAAATGTATATGGGGTCTATTACTGAATAAGAGGAAGGAGTTTCTAAATTTCAAAAATCACGTAATACTTGACAACGGGGTTTGAAATTTAACTTCATGAATATTGTTAGTTGAGCTTACAACAGGTAAGAGTAAAGAGTGTCAGGAAACAAAACTGTCATTTAAAATCCGCAAAATTAGCATTTTATGTTCGATGGATAGTAGAATCCATCAGGTAAGCAGCTGAACATCACACTACATTAAGTGATTTAGCAAACATTTTCTGTACACATATTTTGGGTTTTCTCTAAGCCCCTACCAAGCACAAATTTGCGGAGAAAATTATTCATATGTCCTCCCATCTTGCATTGTAAACAATTTTAAAAGAGGACTGTCGTAAAACTGAATGACCTGAATTTATCAAGTGCATATGACTTTATCTATTTTGTGAAATTTAACGTCCTCTTCAATGTCATTCTTGAGAATGTGTTCAGATGCTATTAGAAGCATCTTATTTGTAACAAATGATAGGTTTCAAAAATGTTACAATATCATTCAAAAAACCAAGTAGTTATGAACAGTTGTACCTCTCTAATATCGAACCTTTTAGTAGTACTTGCACTTTACTTTACTATGAATTGAATCCCAGACCTTCAGGTTACATGGCTGAATATTAGTGTGTTATACATCAATGCCTAGCTTCAAGGTGTATATCCTGGAGTTCTAGTCAGTTTCTAACAGTAGCAGTACACCGCGAACTGGCAGTAGTTCGAATTCATAAGTCATTTTTTCTCAAGTCTAGTGACTGAATGACTAACGGCTTCGTCTCAAAACACGGATTTCCGAGGTTTCATTTGTTTCTTGTATAGTATTGTATCATATTGCTGTAGATTGGCAAAATACCATAAAAACATCTGTTCAGTGCTCCTTAATTTCCAAAGAGTCTAATTTTAGTTTTGATCATAGTGTGATGTCAGTTGGAGAAACGTTGAGCACCAAGGAGTTCTACATATATGTTTCTTCCTAGATAGCGAATCGTCAGTAGTACGCACCAAGGATCCTCCGGTTACAAGAAAAGAAAAATTCGGCCACCGCGACTTAATTGAATGGCTTATGAATTCCATGTCCCACCTGTTCTCGGGTGGTAGAGCTAAAATCACGAATTGGTGGAAGTCGGAATTCATGCGCCATTGGATTCTGTTGCCAGTGAGGTTCAACAGGTTGAGCATCAAAAGAAATATTCGCTGATGACATTGATTCCACAGGGGGAGGTGAATGTATCGATCCACAATAATGAAGCCTGTTATTGTTAACATGATATCATTTTATTTGATTCAGTATAGATTTTCCGTTGGTTGAATGCAACGAAGTGCTCAGTGTCAGGTTGACGTGTCAGCTCCATGTGCAGATGCTTCGACGATGTCTGGTCATTGAACTTGAAGTCAACTGGTGGGTGGTGATTAGCAGTGAAATCCAGGATGCGCATTTCATCCTATGTGAGACTGTTCACGTGGATATACCTGCACCCCCCCCCAGTGAGTGATAGTGCTCCACTTGGACCCAAGTAGTCTAGTGGATAACGTTTTACCGTGTGAAACTACGGTACTGGGTTCGAACCTCGGTGGGAACACTACCACTTGGTGAGGAATGCCGGCACATCCAGTTGCCGAGTCCCACATAGGACGAAATGCACATCCTGGATTCCACTGATAGTCACCCTCCACCAGTCGAATGCATAATGTCATTTTAGGGAATGATTTTAATTTACTTCTGGTTAGAAAATTATATCACTAAAGAGATTTTTTTAATCGCTAACTAGTCTTATAAAACGATTCAATTTCTAACAAAACGATGTAATTTCTCCTTGTTTTTCCTTCCTTTTTTCTTATAGGCAATCTTATTATTTTTAAGCGGATTTCTAGGAAATTGTTTCACCGATACAGTGTACAATGCACTCGGAGATTTTATGGATCTGTTGACCATTGTGAATAATGGTATTAATTTCGTATTGTATTGCTCAATGTCCCATCAATTTCGAACAACATTTATACATTTTTGTACAAAAATATTTCAAAAATGCAGGTAGACAGATAATAATAATTAAAGCCAGTGATTTGCCAGTGATTATTTCATATTTCCCTCTCTGTGTGTGTATTTGTAATTATATTTACATCTTATTAGGCAATTTATAAAAGGTCAGTTTACCATTCTATGATTTGTGAAATGGACAATCAGATATGTGAAAAGTATTCATGTATGTGTGTGTATGTATATTGTTCTAATTAATGTATCTATTTATCAGCTGATGTGATTACAATACAAAGATGAGTTTGGTACATATCATACGTGTCTGTGCTGCCTTACCACATATCCCTACTAATACTATCACTATTATTATTATTATTAATATCAATTTAATGCGTTAATCATTGTTGGAAGTAGTATATGTGTGAATGGTGTTCATTCAACTATATGACTACTATATGATTAGTAGTGAGTAAACAAATGTCAATGCAAATTCAATCTTGTCTCTTCACGTTTACTTTTATTGTGGTTATTTAAAACAAGCAACAAAAGGTGTGAATAAAGCAGGATTTCTTATGAATTCATCAGATTTTGATAGAACTCTTCAGCTGATTACTCTACCTACAGGGATGTATACACTATTGGAAATACTTTGGGAGATATAAGATTGATAACCAAATAAACTACGTTGAATTAATCATACAAAACGACATGAATGTTACTTTTTCAGGTCATATTCGAATAGATAAGGGAATGGAGTATAAGTGACTGAAATTGAAATAAAATACATTACGCTTCAATTATATCACTTAGATAAACAATATCAAGAATTGTGAACTGTGTAATAATAAAAGTAATGATAACAGTTGGGTTGAGATAATTATACTGATAAATCATTGTTGACTTCAGTTCCTAAAGGAACATAGGGCTTCAGCCGCACGTAACCATTGAGTTCGGTTCTCTGCAAACGTTTTCACCTGGTTACACGTCTGTCTACATTTTTTCATCTCCTTTTCACATGACCTCCTTCATGTCACTCTTGGACGACAAAATTGATGCTTCTCGCTCGGTTTCCACTCGAGAGCCTAGCGTGTGATGTCACTTGATGGTTTTCTCAGAGTATGAGCAATCCACCTCCAATTCTTCCTGCATACTTGTTGCGCAATCGGTTCCTGGTTGGTTTGCTCTCAGAGATCAATGTTGCTGATCTTTTTTTCTCGTCATCTGATTTGGAGTATTGAGCGAAGATAGTTTTAAATGAATCAGTGATAACGAGAAGTAGAATAAAGTGTTAATAATACTACTAATAATAATAACAGTTAATAAGCAAAATGTATTCCCATGGTATCACTATCATGTCCGTAGTCAGAAAGATACTTCAATATTGAGCTTTTTGGCCCTTGGAATTCAGCTGTTTCCAACTAATTTGGCAAATGCGTCGGTAGCACAGCGGTTAGGACTCTCCCCGACCATACACATGGTCCGGGGTTCGATCCACTACCGACGCATACCTGATATCTGTGATCGGCCTGCAAAATTTGGGCTACTGATATCACATGCTGGAAATTCCATACTTGTACCAAAAATACTGTGTGGTTTCAAGCTATAATAAAAAAATTCATGAGAGTAAACACGCCTTTCTGTATTTCATTCCACAAACACACTCAAACTGATGTACGTAGTTAGAAGTGTCTTATTTATCCTAATGTATTTCCAGTAGTATACATATATATATATATTTATATCCCTGTATGTTGAGTATTCCGCTGAAGCGTTCTACCGAAATTTGATGAATTCATAAGTCGTGCTGTATTAATACTTTTTGCTGCTTGCTATAAATTCGTATCGGGAAATAAATCTCTCCAATCGTTGTTATGAATAAATGTCCTATAAAATGGGGTAAAAAGAGGTGTTTATTAATTCGGAAAGCCAAAAACTTCACTTAACTACACATATTCTGTTTTCTCATTGTGGAGGAATGAAAAATACGCTGTTAATATTACTGAAAATAAAACTGTATATCAGCCAAGTGTATCAGGTAGACCAGTGATTTCAACTGTTAGGTTATCTTCAGGAAGCAACAAGCAGAGAGCAGTGAACTGCTGTTTCATTCTAAACTAGGACTCCTAAGCATAGTGCGTCCACGAATCAATCAGATGTAGAAGCCAGGACCGGTAGGTTGTGAGACAGAGCTTGTTGACCATTCAGTCAGTTAGGCTTGAATTTAATGACGCCTGAATTCTGATTTAACCAACTCGTGATATAGCACTGCTCTCACCAGTGTCTTTCATAAGAATCCAGTTCTCCTTGACATGCAAGTTTTAGTTTGCAGGGATTTGATTGGTTCCAGGATTCCATTATGAACTGACATCAGTTATAGGACAGCTGGAAACTGAAAGATACTCGTTAGCTGTTTCGTCCCATTTTAGGTCTCTTCACAGTACGCACCCACTATTGTTCGAACTCAGGACGTTCTGGGTACAAGGGGAGCTCGTCAATGAGCTCTTCTTGACGTGATGGACCCCACTGATCATGACATCACACTGTAGTTTCATAAAATACGTCCGGTAACCATAAATGATTTAGAGATTGATATTCAGATTACAGAATTTGTTTGAATTTGTGAACAAATTTCGTCATGAATCAATCAAAAATAAAATGACTGAATGGTCAATGTGTAATAAAAAACCTCTATCAACTTCCTGTTGGCAGAACGCTGAAAACCAAAATTCGCGTTTTACTATATAGTTAATCAGAAATATGAGCACTTATGGGCAGTCAAAAATACACCAGCTACAGTAAAAAGAAAATTATTTGAGTTAAATTCTGTGGTACTATTCAACAATGATAATTTATTTCAAAATTCAAAATTACCCCAACAGTGCTGTAAAGCACCTTTGTAGTGCAATAATTTCTCAGTTACGAAATAAATAGTGTACAACAAAATGAATTAGTCGTAGGAAATACCTGAGAATTAAATGCAATATTCACGATAAGGTGGGATCAAACACTCTGTCATCAAGAATCACACACCATTTGATTCCTACACACAGTCCAATCTCAGAAACATCTTCACTCACTCAAACAAACAACACATTTTCAAAACCATGAGATAGCCACAAAGAGAAGCATTAAAAATAGGTATTAAACGAAAAAATATAGGTAATGAGGCTTAAATGAAAAGATTATATGCAAATTTCTGCGAGAAAAACAGATGATGATTACAGAGTTATTTAAAAATTCCAAATAAGTATTAAGATTGTAATTATATCATTCAGGAGGGATTTTTAAAATATTTAATCCACTACACAACAAGGGTGGTTTTGTAATCTGAAGATTCTGGCTTTGATGCCTGCTGGGGTCGTGGTTGTGCACTGATGAATCTAAGCGTAGGACAAAAACCCTGTCCTGCGCTTCCTAGTTTCCAACCAATATTAAAACTGATTTTGTTTTTTGGTAAGAATATAACATTTGAAGTAAATCCAAAATCCTCAGAAATCCTATAGTCTAAATAAGAGATTCGAAACGCATCACTTGCAGCTGATCGGTACAAAGACGTGAATTTAGATATCATGCTTATTAGCACTCATTAGAAACGCCTGTGTGAAAGCCTGACGGAACTACTGTTCCATCGGCGATTTGAACCCGAATCATTTTTTTAGTGACCATGGGACGTAAACTTGACTGATAGAATGTAGTCAGCAGCAATACTAAGAAGTATATACTTGGGATTTGTTATTTACTCCCCTATGAGCATTCGATATACACCTACATTATGAGCAATAAATTGTGCTCAAAACGTCATCATATAATATGACTGTACAACACTGTGATGATCGGAGAAGGTTTTCGTGTCCACAGAAGTGTATTGATGATTACTGCCTTCCGAACGCCCACACCATGGAAATCAATTTTATCATGGAGTACTTGAAAAAAAGGAGCATTAGTGTTGCACAACCGCAGAGCTCCAGGGAAACACCTAAATGAAGCTGGTAAGATACGGCCTCTTTGAAAGCGGTTTTGGAGTTGTGTTCATATCAATATCTTACCACTGGCTATTCACTTCCCCAAGACAATTCAGTATGTACAGTTTCTGCTGTCCATCTTTCCTAACGTTCATCCTCTTCCAGCGGAGATACAGAATGGCTAGCTTGCTGGTTATCTGAAGGAAACGCCTCATCATTGTCACACACCTTTCCTCCAGCACTACGACTTCGCCCACAGTCTTTCCACTATAGTGCAAATGACTTACACTGTAATGGTGACCGCTTTCAATCCAGGTGTTTTCCAAACGACCTGCTTGGAATGGTTGGACCTTCAGGAAGGTTCGTTCCAGTGAGTGTAGTTCGTTGGTTTGTTGTGATATGCAAGTTCAACCATCACCTCATGGTAGCAGCTATCGGTGATGAAATCACTAAACTTTCAGTTTTCACACAGTTTGAAACAAAAGGAATTTTCCCCAAAAGCAGCGATTAACGAAACTCTGTCTGTTCGATAGTGTCATCATGTGATTTTTGAGTACAAATCCGTATTCATAAAAAGATAAAGAAGAGACATAACTCAGCGAAAATCTACGAATATGCCTTAAGGGCAGAGATAGTGTTTTTTGTTTAACTGTCCGTCTTTATGCATAAAATGAAACGCACACATACACACACACTTCCTTCTTCATTTGTATTCTGATCGTAAGTGTCAAATAAGCTTCCTAGTTTGACTAGAACAAATCAGCACTCTCTGAAAGATAAACAGCAAGCTGATGTAGGAAATTCCCATTGAGTCATGAAGAAAATAAATGATAATTCAGCGAAAAAGATTTTCTTTTCGACAAAGTCATCAACTAGGCTGTACCTTCATGTATTTATATTAGATGTGTGAGAAAGTTCCGGAATCATCTTCGGTCAAAGTCCAAATCAAAAAATTACAATGTGTAATAATCAGGAAGATCGGGTAGGAAATACATAATAAGATATAATTACTCCGAAGTGGCTTTAGAAGTGAAAATAAAAGTTGTAATCTACATAGCACTCAACAGCACAAAGGAAGAAAGGGTTATGAAAAAGC